CTTCGGCCTTAACTGACAGACTTTCCTAGCAGTCCTCACCCTCTGCAACCCAGGGCTCCTAGGAGGAGCTCATGGCAGAGAAAGTCTTCTGGCTTCTGCCACTGCCTCCGCAACTTCTATGTACACGTCAATGTATATCCATGGGTATGAAATGGTCATTTTATGTCACCATTAGCAGAGGAAAGCAGGAACTCTTTCAAACCCCACCCAAAATTCACTCTGACTATCAAGCAGTCCTGTTTATTTTGGAGGCCACTTAACCCTGGAGCAGCCCATAAGCTCCACTTAATCCCCTTTTCTTTCATGATTTCTTTTAAAGAGACATCTTGGGTTCTGTAGGGGAACATTTGTGCTTCATTGAAAAACTCCATTTGAGGCCTGCTCATGGCCTGCCAGCTTATCTGCTTGCAGCCTTCATTGCTTGGGAGCTGTTTTACAACTTTGTAAGTTGTAAAGAGCTGCTGGCGATGCAAACGTGCCTGTCTACGGGCAGGAAATGAATTCTGTCTGGTAGAGGGAATGCTCCCTACCTTGTAGGAAAGCCAACTTTTTTTGTCCATTCGCAAGTTTATTTCAGTATTTCTCATCTATAAATGTGTTCTTCAGATTGTCCTTTGAACCAGTTATAGCATCTGAGTTAAGTAAAATGAATACACTGTGTTTATTTTATACCTGTATGAAAGCTATGTTTTTTGTTTTTTGTTTTTTTGAGACGGACTCTCGCTCTGTCACCCAGGCTGGAGTGCACTGGCGCGATCTCGGCTCACTGCAACCTCCTCCTCCCGGGTTCAAGCAATTCTCCTGCCTCAGCTTCCTGAAAGTTATGATTTTTTGAAAAATTATCTTTTAACTGTTTTTAGCTAGAAACTCCTGGGCCAATATATAAATAGATGAGGTTATCTCTGAGGTTCTCATTGAGGTAACAACAAAAATAAAACAGCACGATGCTACCCAGCTATTGTTCCCCAACTTACGCCTGCCCCCTCCACATGTCCTGCATGCACTCCTGTTTCTGGGGTGTGTGCGTGCGTGTGTGTTTGCGTGTGCGTGTAAAGGTTTGCAGTGAAATTATAATCATTGGTTTTTTGTTGGGGGTGGGGAGTTGTTTTGTTTTGAGACAGGGTCTCACTCTGTCGCCCAGGCTGGAGTGCAGTGTCACAATCACAGTTCACTGCAGCCTCAACGTCCTGGGCTCAACTGATCCTCCCACCTCAGCCTCCCAAGTAGCGGGAACTATAGGCATGTGACACCACGCCGGTCTTGCTTATCTATCTATCTATCTATCTATCTATCTATCTATCTATCTATCTATCTATCTATCTATCTAGATAGGGTCTCCCTATGTTGCCCAGGCTGGTCTCAAACTCCTGGACTTAAGCAATCCAACTGCCTCAGCCTCCCAAAGTGCTGGGATTACAGCTGTTAGCCACTTTGCCCAGCTAAAATTAGAGTTTAGAGCACATTGCTGTAAATTGCGATTACCAAGGGGATTGAAAAATCAATGAAAATAATCAACAGCAAGTTGACTTCAGAATCTGTGCCTTTGAGGCTTTTCCCCTTAATCTCCAGGTAACACATAGGCTCCCTGGCGAGGCCAGTGGTGACAGTGAGAACACCGTCTGCTGCATCTAATGTTTACAGCTTGTAATTCACAACTAACTTTTAAAAATGTACCAGTGTTGGGGCAATGGTGCTTTGCTGGATAGGAAAATTGGCCAAGATCAGAATTCTGAAGGCAATGTCACGGCACAAAGAAATTAGCTACTGAAATCACATCCTAAACATCCAAGAGGTTGACTTCCTTTTCTACTGCATTAGAAAAAGGTTTATTTACTGTTTATCCATACAGTAAGATAGAGATTTGATCTCATTTTTTGGTTAAGAACAACCATATCAAAGTGTGTGTGTGTGTGTGTGTGTGTGTGCATTTTACAGAATTTTTGAAAGTACACAGAGAACTCTTCACAGTTGTTAACTCTGGTAAATGGCAGGGGAGGCAGGGGTGAGAACTGATCTATTATTCATAGTCTCAACGATGAACAAGATATTTCCAAAAATAGGCGGATTATTTAAAATTATTATTATTAGGATACTTTGGGCTTCTAGAAACAAAAACTTAACAAAAAAGTCACTTAAAGAATTTAGGTTTTTTTTTTTTCTGACATAAAAACAAAATAAAGGATGATTTCAGTTTGGTCCATCAGTAACTTAGAAGTGTTTTTCAGGACCCAGAGCTTTCCGCCTTCCCACTGGGCCATTTTCAGCGTGTCCCGTGGCCTCTGGGGGCTTCAGTGATCCAGGCATCACATTAGACGTGACAGTGCCAAGCAAAGAAGAGAAGTATTTCTGCTTATGCGTCTGTTTGTAATAGTGAGAAAAACTCCCTCAGAATCCCACCAGCGATTGATTCTCAGGTCGCACTGGCCAGGATTGAGGCCAGCTGTGCCATGCTTAGCTCAGTCATTTGCATTGTGATCACCGTGATTAGCTTGAACCAATCCTGGGACTTCTCCTTGGGCTTGAACACATGGCCAGGTGGAGGTTGGTGCCCCCAGAAAAAGTCTTTGTTCTGCCAACAAAGAAGACACAGACAACAGTGTCTAACAGGAAAAGCCCCTTTTTACTTCATCCCCTTCCGTAGTATTGCTTCAACAATCAAATACTTTATTTTATTTTATTTTTTGAGATACAGTCCTACTGTGTCACCCCGGCTGGAGCACAGTGATACCACGTCTACTCACTGCAACCTCTGCCTCCTGGATTCAAGCGATTCTCCTGCCTCAGCCTCCTGAGTAGCTGGGATTACAGACGCCCACCAAAATGCCCAGCTAGTTTTTGTATTTTTAGTAGAGATGGGGTTTCTCCATGTTGGTCAGACCAGTCTCGAACTCCTGACCTCAAGTGATCCATTCACCTTGGCCTCCCAAAGTGCTGGGATTATGCTGGGATTACAGGCGTGAGCTACCGCTCCTGGCCTTTTTTTTCTTACATAGAGTTTTGCTCGTTGCCCAGGCTGGAGTGCAGTGGCATGATCTCGGCTCACTGCAAGCTCCACCTCCCAGGTTCACACCATTCCCCTGCCTCAGCTTCCTGAGTAACTGGGACTACAGGCGCCCGCCACCACGCCCGGCTAATTTTTTGTATTTTTAGTAGAGATGGGGTTTCGCTGTGTTAGCCAGGATGGTTTTGATCTCCTGACCTCATGATCCACCCACCTCAGCCTCCCAAAGTGCTGGGATTACAGGCGTGAGCCACCACACCCGGCCCCACGCCTGGCTAATTTTTTGTATTTTTAGTAGAGACAGAGTTTCACCGTGTTAGCCAGGATGATCTTGATCTCCTGACCTTGTGATCTGCCCACCTCAGCCTCCCAAAGTGCTGGGATTACAGGCGTGAGCCACCGCACCTGGCCAAATACTTTCATAGTTAACTTTTTGAATGTGTGTGTGTCATACTTTAAGATGAAAGATATTCTTTCTTGATCCCGTTTCCATGCAGCTTGGCCCCGTGATTCTAGGGACCATGGCTTTTTCTCGCAGTGTGACTCACAGTTTGCCAAAGCAAATCTCTTGTCTTGCATCAGCTCAGTCTCTTTGTCTGCAAATTAAATCAATAGCCCTTTTTACAGCCTATCTCCCAGGACATATTGCTAAAAATACTCACAAAGTCACCATCCAGGAAGAATCATTTGCCCCTGCTGCCACTGTCTCCTGGAAGTCACATGAAAGTTGCTGAGGCTCGGTATTTATTATGCTGTAAAATTCAACACAAGGGAAGAGAAAAAGCAAATTCCATGAGCAGATTTAAGTGTATTGGATCTAATCCATTGATGCTGCAGCTATATTTTCACAGTAGGATCCTCTTTTGTTAAATATTACAGTAGTATGAAAACCTAGCAGAAAAACAGTTCACCGTTTCTCTGATTTTGTGAGCGATGTGGGCTGTGGAACTTACTCTTTGCTGCTCTTCCCCCAACTCCACTCTACCCCTACCTCCAAGTAAAGTACCCCTACCTCCAAGGTCAGCCTTGTCTGCTGCCCCTGACTAAGATGACCCCAACCTCACTGCACCCCAGGTTATACTCCTCTGAGAAGGCCCCTTCATCCCTCCCCTCACATACATCCCCTCAAATCTCTAATTTGTGTGAACCATTAATTTCAGATATTACAGGGAAAATATGCAAAACAAAATGTGGATGGCACATAACCCACAGCATCTCTCAGAGGGTGTTTATACTCGAAAAGAAGTCTTTACCAACCCATAGTTAGGAAAATGCGTGTTCAGAATAACTAGGCCTTCCCGCAGTCCTCTGGGTCAACCAGATGACCACACATTGCCAGAATGAGAAGCAGAGCAGCTTCACATCCCTGTTTCTGAAATGTTTCCCAACAGCTCATTGAAACAACCTCGAGACACCTCTCTCCCGCAAACCCAGTGTGTTTTGGGAACGGCTCTAGGAATTCTCCTTCTGCCTCACTGTCCCTTTCCCCGTCCAAACCATGGTATTGGATTTACAGCATTTCTTAGATTCTATAAAAGTCCTTTTCTGCCAAGAGCCTGAAGCACGCTGGATTGAATGACTCTCTTCCAGCACAGCCGGCATTTGCAGTGCATTAGAATCTTGCCGTCACTTGCACACGTCACCAAGTTACTTCAGCCGGAGTTCAGCCTAGCTACGGCTCTGCCCTGCTCTGCTAACAGTTGCTTTTCAATATTTTGTTTGAGGATTTGTAGTAATTCAAAGGTCTACACTTTTTTTTTTTTTTTCCTAATTTATTTCCTTGGAGTTTTACTCATGGATACTTCAGAAAATGTCAGTTTTATGTCATTAATGTCATCATCTTCTCTGGGTTCTCAGAATTCGAAATTCACAGGAGCATGGCAGCCTTACATTCAGTCTATTCTTTTCCTAAAAAAGGAAGCAAACCGCAACAGTTCACCTACGCTATGGAGACTGAAGTGGTCCCACCTCTGTAATTCTCTCTCTGTCTGCCCCACAGCTGTGCCGAAGGGAGTGCCACTCGTCTGCAGGGCCGTACCGCGGAACCCTCTTTGCCAACCAGCCAGTGATGTTTGTCTCGCCTGCCAGCAGCCCCCCAGTGGCCAAGCTCTGTGAACTAGTCCACCTGTGCGGAGGCCGGGTCAGCCAAGTCCCCCGCCAGGCCAGCATCATCATCGGGCCCTACAGCGGAAAGAAGAAAGCAACAGTCAAGTATCTGTCGGAGAAATGGGTCTTAGGTAAGAATCTAGGCACAGAGACACTGTTGTGTGGTCCAGATCTATGAACAGGTTTCCAGGGAGGGCAGCGTCACGCTCACACCCCCTTCCACGCAGCTGGGGCACCTGGGTTGATGTCTCAGCCTCCAGCATCTGCCCTGGCAGCGTCATGTGGTCACCCTCGGCATTCCCACTCCTTGCTGTCAGCAGCAGCGCAGTTCACAAGGAAATGGGAACTCTAACTGGACTCCCCACTTGACTTTCCTGGCTCATGTGAAAAACCCAGTCCACCCAAAGCCACCCCAAGCCACCCCTGTGGGCACAGGCTCTCCAGGCACCCACTTAGACCCTCCCTCCCCAGTGCCTCCTTGTCCTACTTCAGGAGTCCCTGGCAGCGCCCGGCGTTAGGGCCCAAGCCCCCGTCCCTGTCATCCCCTCTCCCAGGTACATCTCATGATCACTCCGTCTGCTCATGTGCTCGAAGGGCGTTAAAGACGTAAAAGGACTCCATCTTTTATTTCACAAAGTGAGCACAGTGTGACCATAATGTCCCGCTCTGGCATTCATGGAGTTGCGCCAGGTGCTGTGTGCAATTCTGGGGAGGAAGAGGTGGTAGGAGCTGAGCTGTGACCGGAGGAGGCTGGATCCACGCCATGCTCACACGCGGGCTCCGGGAGGCTTGCAGGTGATCCCCGGAGAAGGGGGTTGAGGAAGAGTGTGAAGCAAGGATGGCCTGGGGAATGTGGAGGAGGCAGGGGCAGCATCTGTGCCACAACTTACACACCCTGTGGTGGAGTCACGCGTGGCAGGACAAGCCTAGGGCTCCACTGTGGGTAAACCCCACATCCTCCTCCACAGGGTTGTGATAAACATGTTAGTTTGCTTGGGCTGCCATCACAAATTACTACAGGCTGGGTGGCTTCAACAACACGCGCTGTCTGTCAGTTCTGGAGGCTGGAGGTCTAAGAGGGGGTATCGGCAGCGTTGGTTTCTCCTGAGCTTGCAGACGGCTGCCTTCTTCCTGTGATCTCACGTGGCCTTTCCTCCATGCACACACATCTCTGGTGTCTCTGTGTGTGTCCAAATTTTCTCTTCTCTAAGGATACCAATCAGATTGGTTAGGGCTCACCCAGTGGCACAGTTTTATTTGCTTTTATTTTTTTTTTGAGACAGTGTCTCTCTGTGTCACCCAGGCTGGAGTGCAGTAGCATGATCACGGCTCACTGCAGCCTCAACCTCTCTGGCTCAAGTGATTCTCCTGCCTCAGCCTCCTAAGTAGCTGGAACTACAGGTGCATGTCACCACGCCCAGCTTTTTTTTTTTTTTTTTTTTTTCCTGTAGAGATGGGGTTTCCCCATGTTGCCCAGGATGGTCTCAAACTCCGGGGCTCAAGCGATCCTCCTGCTTTTGCTTCCCAAAATGCTGGCATTACGGGTGTGAGCCACTGCACCCAGCCCCAGTGGCATCATTTTAACTTGTCTTATTCAAGGCGCCATCTCCAAATACAGTCTCATCCTGAGTTACCGAGGGTTAAGACATTGACATATGAATTTTGGCCAGACACAGTTCAGCCCATAACAATGAATCACTCCAGTTTCAGCACCTGGGGCCAAGATCCTTACCTGGCTTTAGAGGTGCATCCTCTCTCTCTCTCTCCCATTCTCTCATTCTTTTTCTCTCTCTTTGCTTCCATCTCTTTCCATGTTTCTTATTCAGTCTCCTTTCTTAGTACTTCTGCTTGTCTCTAAATCCTAAACTTCTGGCTTTTCTCACCCCGTTAAACATTATCCTTTAATAGACAAGTAGATACTGTGTTTGTCCAAGTTACATTCACAGCTAACTATGGACATTTTACAAACATCTCTTACATGACTGATGGTCATCCTTTCATATATTTTAAAAGCGTGGCAATCAAAAGTAATTTTTTACTCTGGCGCAGACTAATTCATCTTTTGCCTGGAAACTAACTTCCAAAAAAAAAAAAAAAACTATGATTTTAGCTACAGTCCAAAAGCTAAGAGGCTGTTTACTGTTTTCTAAATGCCAAGAATATAACCTTCAAAACATCCTATGTTCTGAAACAGAGGTTGTTGTTTTGTTTTTTTGGAAAAGTGTATTATCAAAATTCCACTGACTGCAGAACAGAACTGGGCCTGAAGGCGTGTCTGGCCAGCGGACGGAACTGTGCACGCGACTGATATCCACGGTGCCTACCAACAGGCAGTCTTTTTGGAGTTTGGAAAGCGTGTGCCGTGCAGGGCCGAGCCTGCCTCTGTTTCCAGGTTGGGTGGCTCTGACGGCTCCTTCCTGTGGCTCCTGCATCCTTGTGTGGAGTCACGCTTGCTCGGCGGCTGTTCACTTCCTCCGGTTGTTTTGTCGCTCGGCTCTCCCGCCCGTGGGTTTTCAGGAGGTGAATGTCTATCTGCTTAACCCCAAGGCTTCGCTCCCACAAAGCCCTTCAGAGTTCTCTGACTTCCAGGGCTGGGCCACAGGCCCCAGCCTCTTTTTCTTTCCTCCTGTAACGTGTGTCCTGTTTCTGATTTCTCACCAAGTATGCCATCTGCGTGTGCCCTTGGTAACATCTGGGTATTGTGTGTGCTGCAGCCTTCACCCATGTCAGATGAGTCCCCTCACTCGCCGGCCACCGGACCCCGGTGTAGTGGGCGTCTCCAGTACCAGGCCTCTCCAGCCCACACTCTCTGGGATGTAAGATCACATAGTTTGCAAGTATTTATTGGCTTGTTATTTTTCTTTTTGTGAATTGAATTCCAATCCAGTAGCTGCAGCTATGTACAAATAAAGGAGGGTTTATTTTTCTGTCTGTACATACTTCTGGCCTTTCTCACCCTCTGCTAAACATTATCCTTTAACAGACCAGTAGATTTTTTTGTATTTTTCTCTTTGTGAATTGAATTCCAATCCAGTAGCTGCAGCCATGTACAAATAAAGGAAGGTTTATTTTTCTGTCCACACATACACTTGTAAACCTACAGAACACACGGTCCAGGGCATTGCATTTCCTGCCTCATCCAGGTCCAGGTTGGCCATTTGCTTATTCTCTAACCAGAAGCAAATCATACACTTTTCTTTTTTTTTTTTTTTTTTTTCTGAGATGGAGTCTCGCTCTGTCACCAGGCTGGAGTGTGCAGTGGCGAGATCTCAACTCACTGCAACCTCCACCTCCTGGATTCAAGTGATTCTCCTGCCTCAGCCTTCCCAGTAGCGGCACCTGCCACCATGCCTAGGTAATTTTTGTATTTTTAGTAGAGGTGAGGTTTCACCATGTTTGCCAGGCTGGTCTCAAACTCCCAACCTCAAGTGATTCTCCTGCCTCAGCCTTCCCAGTAGCAGCACCTGCCACCATGCCTAGGTAATTTTTGTATTTTTAGTAGAGATGAGGTTTCACCATGTTTGCCAGGCTGGTCTCAAACTCCCAACCTCAAGTGATCCTCCTGCCTCAGCCTCCCAAAGTGCTGGGATTACAGGCGTGAGCCACTGTGCCTAGCTGAAATCACCTGTTTTCTGTGGAATGCATTTACTTCATGTATAAAACAGAGTGATAACCTCTACCTAGCTTACCCCACATGTTGGTTAAAGGAGAAAACAGAGAGTGCAAATGCCCTGTGGCAGACATAGGCTTGTTAAGTATGGCAGATAGACAGTATCCACGGATGTGTCCTCATCATCCCTTCAACAAAGCACATTGTGTCTTTTGGAGACTTTTTTTCCTCCCATTGCTTTCCATTATAACAAATGCTTCTCTGGACAATATTTCATTCTCAAAATATCGCAATATTGAAAAACTAGGAATATATCAAACCACTTTAAAGCATCAAATTGAAAGAAAAAGTTACTTTGTTTAAGTTAAATTATGAAAAGACAATACTCAAAAAAAAAATCAATTAAATTTATTCAAACTGGAATATCAACTGCTGTGTAAGATAGGGTCCCTGGGCATCTAAGAGTAATTTCAGCTAGGCATGGTGGCCCATGCCTGTTGTCCTACCTACATGGGAGCTTGGCTGGAGCCCAGAAGTTCAAGGCTGCGGTGAGCTATGATCCCACCACTGTACTCCAGCCTAGGCAACAGAGCAAGACCCCATCTCTAAAAAGGAAAAAAAAAGAATCATTTTTCAGTACCTTCATATTGTTTCTGTATCTTACAGTCTTGTTTTGCAGACGTCGTAAAGTCACACGGGGTGGAGAACCAGGAGTTTTTTTTTAGCCACTAGGAACCTCTCTGAGAAGTTTCTTTTCTTTTCCTTTCTTTATTATTATTAGTTTTTTTTGGCCAGAGGAGTGAAAGGAAGGTAGGCACTAAAACCACAGCCCTTCCCCTGGGACTGCAGCATCCTAGCACCACTGTCCTCCCACAAGCCTTTTGTTCCTGCATGGTCTGTATCTCAAGACCAACAACTCCATATCTACGAACATAAAAATTGTTAGTGAATATTTTACTTGTAAGAATTTCTTTCGACCTCAGCTCTGAGGTGACCCTCAGCTCGCCCACCACCCCAGCTGCCCCACCTTGCTGGCATAGAACAGGGGGTGGAGGTGTGAAGTCACCAAACAGGGCTCAGCATACAAAATGTAAGCCGCGCCTCACTCACTCGCTCCCCGGAGAATTTCATCCGCGCCGCATTGCCTAATAACGGGGTTATCGGAAAGGTCATGATTACGTTCCCTATTCATTCCCTGGAGTCTTTTTTCCCTGAAACTGTATTGTACTTGGGCCAAGATTCTTGATGAATCATTCAACCAGAAGGAGAAATGGGGTTGTTGTTGGTTTTTTTTTTTTTTTCTTTTTGAGAGAGAGCACATTTGTGGGTGGTTGAATATGGAAAAAAATAAACAGGAAAACAAAAATGAAATTCCCGGCCCTAGGAAATAAAATGTTACCTTTACCTGATATTGGTAACATATTATATTTGAAAGCATTTGCTAATGATTGCATTTTCCCCCCAACACTCCCATGACATATAATTCCCATTTTACAAGTCACCAAACGAAGACCCTGGGGT